CTCTCCAACACATATTTCTACACCAAACCTATTTAATACAAGTTCTAGAACCTAAAATTTCATATTTTCACTTATTAAAACCAAATTTCAATTATTATTTTCACTAACATTTTAAATCTCTACTTTTTCAATCTACCAAATTCAAACACACATCACTACATATATCCATATTTTTTTTTTACCATAATTATTTACTATATATCTATATACATATATAAAAAAAAATGCGGGGTGGTACAGAATGCAAGAAGGGTGTCACATCTGTTAGTTAGGGAGTGTCATATAAGATTATAAGATTTTGGATGATTTTGTTCCTAAAAAGCTTAATTTTAATTCCATTACGTTATGAATAAAATTGTGATTTAGTCGTGGACTCATTGTCATTCGGAAATCTATTATTGTCTAAATTTGATCAACGGTAAACCTAAATGTAGAACTTTCTCTATGTTTATGTTGATTAAATCTAGGTTGATATGTTAATGATGTTTGTCTATTTGAAAGTTTATGTTTATGTTAATGATGTCGTCTAATTAAATAGTAACTTCTTTTGTCTAGTTCAAATCAAATTCGTCTGTCATAAACATAGATTAAGGGCTCTGTAATCAATCCTATACTACCCATCCTAAAGCGTAAAGCCAATCCTTTCCCCCTCAGTAGCTCGTGGTCTCCCCTTTTGGAATATTCATTTGCTCCCCTCTCTTAAATGTTAGTATAAATTACAAAAGATTGTAAAACAAAAGACACAAAATTAGAATGCTATTCACTAAAAAAAAAAAAGCCAAATGGATTTGAAAGGTAGTAATTTTAAACACATCACATTGTTAATGGCTAAAACAATAGTTAGGCTTACCAAATTCCTGGTAGTGTACAGTCACATCACTAAACAAACTTGGCTATTAATATTAAACAAACCTGGCTATTAATATTATGCACCGTGATGCACAATACACAGACAAAGCGAAATAGGTGGCAAGCAAAGTAAGCGAGCAGATGATTGGTATCAAATCAAACCTGTAAAATATGAAGAACGTGGATAAAATAAGAGAACCTTGAAAACACTAATTAGGAGAAATATGCATCATAAGTTTGTTTTATTTTTTCTACAATTCAATTCAACCTAAAACAAATCTCCCCCACGAACACACAAAAGAAAAAACCCTTGAGAGAAACAGTTGCGGTTGGTCACTGATTTAATTACAGCGTGGACGTGATGAAGGAGGTAGTCTTACGAGTATGAGTCACTTTTTGATCATCTTTTAGCATCCTTTCAAGTTCCTTCACAAAAATTTTCATGGCAGGCACAGGGAAGCAAATGGGCACTACACTCCCATTCTCGCCCTTGCTATTCGTCAAAGGTATGTAAAAGCTGGCCACCCCAGCAATGGCACCAACACCACCCTTGGCTGGACCACCGTAGGCCGCTTTGCCCCACCCAAAGTCCACATCTCCAAATCCAGCGCAAGTAACGTCCGATACCAGGTAAGTTCACACCATCATAAAGTGGGGTTGTCCTTTGATCACCATCAAGTCGGCCACTGATCGCATATACTCCGCGGTGACATTTGCCTTGGCTTTCATGACAAGTTGCAGGGCATACCCCAAGGGGTTGTTGCACAGCTTCCCGGCAGTGGAGATGGCCACCAGGAATGCAAAGGCATTGCCGTAGTAACCGTTGGGTAGGGAAGGGTCAAATTTGGCACGAGCATTGACGATGCAAAGGATATGCACCTCCTCCTCTGGTTCTGGTTGAAGGGTGATGGTGTGGCAACGCCACAAGAAGGCTGTTAGCAATTCAAAGGTGGAACATTCGCCCTGACCCTGCAGGTGGGGAGGCACGAACCTACGAAGAGCCGACACTTGAGTGGACCCAAAGAATAAAGAGTTGTGGGCCATGTCATCCAAAGGAATAATGGTCCCTGATGGGACTTTTCTGAAATATCCTATGATAAAGACACATGTCCTCGGTATTACCAAAACACTATTTGCTAAGATCAAGCACCATCGGCGCACAAAGGTCCTCGCCCCCGAGGTACTCGTCATATAGGATCATGCATTCAGTATGTTTTACAACTGACACGTGGTCTCGGTCTGATATGGTACCTCGGTCGGTATCCCTCCCTCGGTTGAGATGAGCTTTTCCTCGGTGCCGAGGTGTACCCGTCCAAGACGCCTCCTCTACTCTAGGATAAGCTATTGACGTACAGGTCATTAGCCTAGGCTATTCATCATGACATCGTCTTACACAATTAGTGTCAGAACGTACTGGAATGCAGGGGCCACAGCCAATGAGGGATGGACGCGTGGCATATGATATCNTCCTCTACTCCAGGATAAGCTATTGACGTACAGGTCATTAGCCTAGGCTAGTCTAGGCTATTCATCATGACCTCGTCTTACACAATTAGTGTCAGAACGTACTGGAATGCAGGGGCCACAGCCAATGGGGGATGGACGCGTGGCGTATGATATCACATCGAAGACAGAGAAACCGCATGCCGTTGCTGACACGCGACTTGGGAAAGCAAACGATTAATTACACCATTCCCTTGATGAGACCGCATTCAATGCGGTAAGGCTCGGAAATGAAAGGCAATAAATGCTCCTAATACAGAGCATTTATTGCATCCTCCCCGAGAGGAGTACATTGTACCGTCGGCATCCCGATGACCCAGCATTGATTGCTCGGGACCCCGAGCAGTTAAGAAGAGAAGACATTCCTCATCAGAATCAGTGCGCACACTGCCTGTACCTAATGATCACCTACTGACTACACTGACAGCAATCATGAGCTTTTGAGGTATAAATACTCCTTGCAAAAGGCAAGACGGGTATGCAACAAAAAACTCTTTACTACAATACACACTCAGTGTTTTCTCCTTCCTCTCTCTTTCTCAAAGACTGACTAGATCGTCGGAGGGGATACGCCGGAAAACACTCCGGCGCCCTTCTAACTTGTTCTTCTTTGTTCCAGGAACCTCTTTCAGCCTTACTGGATCGTTCTTCCGCTCCCCCAGGGTCTCCCGTTGCCGTTCCAGGTTACCACCGGACCTCGCAGGCTGTTCCTAGCAGCGTGGTTGGTCACTCAACTAGTTCACTCGAAGTTCACCAAGGGAGAGATTTGTTCTCATTTTTTATATTGTGCAGGATCTTGCATGCACAGTCCCCTTAGTGTCCGAGATTTGATCATACTCGTGGTGAGTGCATGTCACACGCGGAGGCTCCCTAGCATTTAGCAACTGCCTCTGCCATAGTGGCTACACTGAGGGGATAGGAGCACCTCGTGCCATTTCACCCAGGGACCGCCATGAACTGGACTAGTCCAGCTGCATCACTCATGGTATGATTTAGACATAGTGCGAATATGAAACCCCCACACATGAGACGCGTCACCTATACGTCAAGTAAATTAAATAAATTTAGCTATGCCATTCATAATTAATTACTATATGAAGGTCTGTTTTACAAACGGAAACAAAAAAAAATAAAAAATTGATTATTTAAACTAGAAATCAACAAAAAACTAGTATAACTCAAAATCAACATAAAATTAGTATCTCAATTATTAATTTGATGTTAGTTACATGAATCTTATGTCACATATTTTTTTTAATAGTAAACTATCTTATCTTTTTTTAAAATTAAATTTCAAAAAAAAAAAACCAATAGAACTATTCCTACTAATTTTGGACCGCAAATCCACAGTGCTCCTTTAGTGATCATCTCTCCCTGCCACACCACTCATAACATACGGATTCTTATCTATAATAATAGTACTGTATGTCAGTTTCAACTGATTTGGAAAACATGTTTTCTGATAAAGGTCAGTTCACACCTTGTGCGAAGGGTACAATACAGTGTCCGCATTGCATTATACATGCAATTCACGACTTTTTAGTCTTTGAAAAAAATTAGAGCTTCATGGGTGTCTTTTCGCATATAGTAGTGGAACTGAACCACTCAATTATTGAGTTGGCTAATTCGTTTTTATTGGTCCAACTAACATCTATGACACTCACTAAATTCATTAATAAAAAATATTATTTAAATTTAATTTTAACATTTAATTGATTATAATTGTTAGATTAAATCTATACTCTATTTTATATTCAAACTCTTAATTACATTGAATTAGGTTCTCAGATTAGATACTTATAACATTGTTAAAAAATATAATAGAGGAAATTTTTTTTTTTTTGACTAATTAAACTTGATTTTATAAAATTTGAGATTTGATAGGATTTTACCAGAAATACCATTGAAAATATGCACGTGATTGACACATGATCTTTTCATCTATTTTTTGTGACATCAATTAGTGTCAATGACCTAATTAACTTAATGTTTGAACTTTAGGGATGAAGTCAAAATTTTGTGGACAAAAGTGTAATAAATAATAAATTTAAGGGACTATTAGTACAATTTATCCTTAAAATTTTAGGAGTTAAGAATATGTTAAACTATAGCGGATAAAAAATGAAAAAAATGCATGCCTATTAATATAACGAGAGACATGTTCTGGTTGTGATTGTACGTGCAGTTAGTTATTACTTGAAATTAACTTCTGAAAATGTATATATATTTATTTATAATATAAAATAAGACATACTTTAATAAATTTATTTATTAATTTCAAATAGATTCAACCGGCGGCTGTCAACATAATTCTTTCACTCAAAATCATTCACATTATATCGTATTTTTATTTACAAATTATCCTAGTATATATATATAAATACAAATCGGTGGGTATATATATGTATTATATCTAGAAGTTGTTATACTTGAGAGAACTATTGGAAGGCACGTAGAAACTGGAAACAATTAACGCACTCCAACCCAACCCAGCTACTTACCCCCCAAAAAAAAAAAAAAGTGTACCTGAATAAGCAACAAAGGGCAGTTAAGGACCCCTCCGGAGCCGGGAACATCGTAGAGAAGCTCCTCCAAGCAGGGGAACAGAGGTTGAAGGCAATCGCCGAACTGGTCGAGGGTGACGTCGGCATCAGCTTCAATGAACATGACAACCTCACCGGTACAGTCTACCATAAGCTTCCGGCCTGGGACTTCCCTAAGACGACCAGCAAATGGGTGGTGGAAAACAAGGGTTTTGGCAAGAGCTTCTCTGATGACCTTCACAGGGTCTATGCCTCTTCCTCCCGTTCCTATATTCCGATAGAACTGTATGGCTGGGATCTGAAACCGAAGACCTTCCTGATCATCGATGTCAGAAAGCAGTTTGCACTCATGAGGTGTGGCCTTTGCTGGAGGGACCAGCTCAGGCTTCTGCCTCCTCACTGTGAACGTTAAAGATGTGGTGGGTGGTGGTGCCATATATACCCAGAAGAAAATTATGGGATGGTCCTATAATAATACACAACCATCTGAGAGGAGTTTATGTGAGAATAGTGGTCTTCATTTGCAATCCCGGAGCCGGAATTTATAGAGAATAACAGGGAATGTGAAGACCGTTTCTATGAAATGATGATGGGGGTGAGAGTTTGGGGATGAGAGCTGAAAGGGTTGCCTGTGTCTCCCTGTTATGACATTAAAATAATATTAAATGAGTTCACGTGATTAACAAGAAAAGGCATGTGATGAAAACATCAATCAATTTGTCAAATAGGTCTAACTGAATTGACTAATATATTCGGCAAGCGAAGAAAGAGTTCGGCTCATACCTAACCATGTTGTTCAAGGGGTTCAGTGGGTAATGGAAGAGTTCGGTCCATATCATGACCGAGCTATTTGAAACAATAAATAGAAAAATAAATTATTCGCCTATAACTTAGGAATCCAACATAAGTTGATGAGCTTATTTATAGGCCAAGGGAACTGCCAGAGGAATTTTAGCAGCTTCCCAAATTGAATTGCTAAATTAAAGGAAGGTGTGTCACCTTGAATGTAGGATGATGAAACCCTAATTGAACAAGGGTCTATAAAAGAAATGTGGATTCAAGGTGAAAGGTATGCTGAACTCTCTTTGTCTTTTTGCAATTGATTCAAACTCATTACTNCCCGATGACCCAGCATTGATTGCTCGGGACCCCGAGCAGTTAAGAAGAGAAGACATTCCTCATCAGAATCAGTGCGCACACTGCCTGTACCTAATGATCACCTACTGACTACACTGACATCAATCATGAGCTTTTGAGGTATAAATACTCCTTGCAAAAGGCAAGACGGGTATGCAACAAAAAACTCTTTACGACAATACACACTCAGTNTTAGTAAAAAAACACATCTTTACTGGAAATATCAATTCTACGTTCGTGTGAGAGGTTTGTTTTTTATTTTCTCTTACATTTTTTGGTGTCGTCTATGGGAAAATTTTTCATCAATCGGAACAAAAAGCTACAATGTCAAGTTTCAGAAATGTNCCTTCCTCTCTCTTTCTAAAAGACTGACTAGATCGTCGGAGGGGATACGCCGAAAAAAACTCCGGCGTCCTCCTAACTTGTTATTCTTTGTTCCAGGATCCTCTTTCAGCCTTGCTGGATCGTTCTTCCANCGTTAGGTTGCATATTGACAAAAGCCCATCTGGGCCCCATGAGAATTACTATGTATCCTTAGCAAGCTTCAAACGAACCAGAAACCAGAACCAGCGAGGATAAGATCGTGGTGAGTCCCTCCCTGTCGAGGGGGANAGTGGACCCAAAGAATAAAGAGTTGTGGGCCATGTCATCCAAAGGAATAATGGTCCCCTTGGTGTCCGAGATTTGATCATACTCGTGGTGAGTGCATGTCACACGCGGAGGCTCCCTAGCATTTAGCAACTCCCTCTGCCATAGTGGCTACACCNTCACCAAGGGAGAGATTTGTTCTCATTTTTTATATTGTGCAGGATCTTGCATGCACAGTCCCCTTAGTGTCCGAGATTTGATCATACTCGTGGTGAGTGCATGTCACACGCGGAGGCTCCCTAGCATTTAGCAACTGCCTCTGCCATAGTGGCTACACTGAGGGGATAGGAGCACCTCGTGCCATTTCACCCAGGGACCGCCATGAACTGGACTAGTCCAGCTGCATCACTCATGGTATGATTTAGACATAGTGCGAATATGAAACCCCCACACATGAGACGCGTCACCTATACGTCAAGTAAATTAAATAAATTTAGCTATGCCATTCATAATTAATTACTATATGAAGGTCTGTTTTACAAACGGAAACAAAAAAAAATAAAAAATTGATTATTTAAACAAGAAATCAACAAAAAACTAGTATAACTCAAAATCAACATAAAATTAGTATCTCAATTATTAATTTGATGTTAGTTACATGAATCTTATGTCACATATTTTTTTAAATAGTAAACTATCTTATCTTTTTTTAAAATTAAATTTCAAAAAAAAAAAACCAATAGAACTATTCCTACTAATTTTGGACCGCAAATCCACAGTGCTCCTTTAGTGATCATCTCTCCCTGCCACACCACTCATAACATACGGATTCTTATCTATAATAATNTCCTTTTACTATGTGGATTGAAAGGGAGCGTATCCCCAACCAGCCTCCCACATCAAATATTTCAAACAGCTAATGACCATTCATCGGTGGAATGAACCCTTGCTTTGCACCATCTTCTCTAGCAGCCTCGAGGAGTCGGCCATGAAATGGTTCGACAACTTGCTTAAGGGGTCGATAGACGGATGGTCACAGTTAGCCGAGCAATTTACAAATCGGTTCATTACGAGCAGCAAACAGCCCAAGGATGTCGGGGCTCTCCTGACATTAAAGAAGTGAAATAATGAAACTTTGCGCGAGTACGCTCATTGCTACTAGAGACAATGAATGAGGTAGAGCTTGCAATCCTGAAATCACAGTAGCATCCTTTGAGATAGGGTTACGAAAGGAGAACCCCTTGTACCAATCACTCACCAGGAGGCCAACCACAGACCTAGAAGAACTGATGGTAAGAATTGAGAAGTATGCTAAAGTCGACGACGATTTATCCAGAGATGTGGTTAAGGATCATTAGGCAGAAGGCAGTTCGGCCGTGATAAACAAACTGAACCGAATACAGAGGGTAGAAAGAAGAGCGAGACAGAGGGATTTCTCTTGAAGTCTCCCTTTCTTTGGATAAATACACTGTTCAAAGAAATAATATATAATATTTTGAATTAAATCAAGGGGAAGCCATTTTTTAAGTGGCCCAATAAGCTAACAGGGGATCCTTTGAAAAAGAATCCTAACTTCAGATGTTTATACCATCGGGATGTAGGCCACATGGCTGAGAATTGATGATCTTTGAAGCAGCATTTGGAAGAACTAGTCCAGGCTGAGCATCTCACCGAGTTCATCGAATGTGGAGCGAGAACTGACAGAGGAAGGACAAAACCAAAAAAAGTTCAGACCACACCAGCAGGGGTAATAGATGTGATCTACGTTGCAACGAATCTGCAAATGTCAACGAACAATGCTGCTAGGGCAAATATTAAGAAAGCTGCGAAAGAAAGAGAAGTCTATTAGCTGCGACTGACTCCCGAGGTGAGGAATAAAAGGATTAAGGCAGAAGAGTCAACNTAAATAGAAAAGAAAAATGTGAAAGGGAAAGCCAACGATAAAGTCCCGAAAAGAAACATGACAGAACCAAGAATGCCAAGGATGACAAATACTAGCAAAAAAGACCTTGGGTTCTAGAGGAGGACTCTTGGCAGCAGTACATCATCGAAGAACTAAACAAACGTTTGAAGAGCCCAAAGTAGAGGTCAACAATGGCTCGGAGTCATCTCCTTTTACTTTGTGGATTGAAAGGGAGCGTATCCCCAACCAGCCTCCCACATCAAATATTTCAAACAGCTAATGACCATTCATCGGTGGAATGAACCCTTGCTTTGCACCATCTTCTCTAGCAGCCTCGAGGAGTCGGCCATGAAATGGTTCGACAACTTGCTTAAGGGGTCGATAGACGGATGGTCACAGTTAGCCGAGCAATTTACAAATCGGTTCATTACGAACAGCAAACAGCCCAAGGATGTCGGGGCTCTCCTGACATTAAAGAAGTGAAATAATGAAACTTTGCGCGAGTACGCTCATTGCTACTAGAGACAATGAATGAGGTAGAGCTTGCAATCCTGAAATCACAGTAGCATCCTTTGAGATAGGGTTACGAAAGGAGAACCCCTTGTACCAATCACTCACCAGGAGGCCAACCACAGACCTAGAAGAACTGATGGTAAGAATTGAGAAGTATGCTAAAGTCGACGACGATTTATCCAGAGATGTGGTTAAGGATCATCAGGCAGAAGGCAGTTCGGCCATGATAAACAAACTGAACCGAATACAGAGGGCAGAAAGAAGAGCGAGACAGAGGGATTTCTCTTGAAGTCTCCCTTTCTTTGGATAAATACACTGTTCAAAGAACCAATATATAAGATTTTGAATTAAATCAAGGGGAAGCCATTTTTTAAGTGGCCCAATAAGCTAACAGGGGATCCTTCGAAAAAGAATCCTAACTTCAGATGTTTATACCATCGGGATGTAGGCCACATGGCTGAGAATTGATGATCTTTGAAGCAGCATTTGGAAGAACTAGTCCAGGCTGAGCATCTCACCGAGTTCATCAAAGGTGGAGCGAGAACTGACAGAGGAAGGACAAAACCAAAAAAAGTTCAGACCACACCAGCAGGGGTAATAGATGTGATCTACGCTGCAACGAATCTGCAGATGTCAACGAACAATGCTGCTAGGGCAAATATTAAGAAAGCTGCGAAAGAAAGAGAAGTCTATTAGCTGCGACTGACTCCCGAGGTGAGGAATAAAAGGATTAAGGCAGAAGAGTCAACTGAGGCCATCTGCTTCATCGAGTAGGATTTGGTCGAGGTTCATCAACCACACAATAACGCATTAGTTATAACGCTTTGCATTGCAAAATATAATGTAAGGAAGGTTTTGATTGATATTGGGAGTTCCTCCAAAATTATGTACATGGATTTCTTCAACAAGCTCGGACTCAAGGAAGAAGACCTTATGTAACACCCCACCCTCCACATGGTATAATATTGTTCGCTTTGGGCCAACTGACCCTCATGGCTTTGCTCCTCCCAGTATCCCTAGGAAAAGGCCTTATGCCATGTAAGGCAAGGGGCTTACTAATAAGCCCAGTCACTTTTCCCTCCCTAACTGATATAAGACATCAAGATCTTACAATACAACCCCCTTAGGGCTGCACATCCCTGTGTAACAGCTTGTCAACTACCTGCCCGCCCACTACGTGCGAGCACGTTAAGGGCCCACACTCGATCTAGGCAAGAGTCGGCTCTGATACCAACTTGTAACACCCCACCCTCCACATAGCATAATATTGTCTGCTTTGGGCCAACTGGCCCTCACGGCTTTGTTCCTCCTAGTATCCCTTGGAA